TCCTTTATTAATGAGATTGCACTATAGTAACACTCGTAACAAACTAATCATTACAAGTAGAGGCTTGGCACAATAACGATGTGCAATAGTGTATGCACTACTCCGTACAGCGAGCTGAATAATTATATTGATGGACTAGGGTGCGATGGTAGCAGGCTTAGCGGATTGGACTTAATTTATTCGTCGACCTGTGTGGCAGGCTAAACTCAGATTATTTGAAGTATTCGATGGTTGCGAATATTCTCATGATATATCTATCATAAGCTTTCACTATACCATGAATTCAACGTGGTGGAAATGCAAGTAAGTTCCTCTTACGCGGTGTTTATGTCGCCAAATTATACTGCTGTTTTGTGGTGGACCAGACAATATACGAACTCAAAAATGATAATAGAGTTATTAAGTGCAAGTGATAATGTTAATATATATCAGTTAAATGATGTAAACACAATCACGAATTAATGTAGAACGAGAGGTATGTGCTTAACAATGTATTTGTTAGCAGTCAACAGTATGTCAAGCTATGAGGCTGCACAACGGAAGTAAAGTGTGTTAAAGGTCATACACTTAAACAACACGTACAATCAATTAATGATAAATGTACATGCAGTGAAAAGTTAACAAAATAAATACAAATAACATCAAAAACTATTTACAAAATAAGCTTGTCAGGCATATCTCCACAGTTTTGCCGGTGGCGGAAGGTCATTCAGAAGGGCTCCAATTCTAAGACAATGTAATAATCAGATTTTGGACTGACATGGCGACCTGTTGTAATAGTCGATAGGATAACGAAATTTGTAGGCCGCCGTTTTAAAATGGAATGTACAATAGTTTTATAAGCGATTTAATTGACAGATTTTGCTTCAAATTGTCATATGAAACAAGAGACAGGTAAGCTATTCGGTTTAAGTAGGATCCATGCCAGATTAAAATGAACATGATCCATTGTTGATAAAAAACGTAAAGAACTTTTGTTACGTCTATTTACCTTGCGCGCCTTCTCCTCACTGTTTTTATTCATTCGAAGTAGGCAGCATCACGCAATAGACTTGGTGGCTGGTAGAACACTTGAACGAATAGATCGAAGGATGTATCCCAAACGTTGGCGTGATATTGTTTGGGTAAGGATAAACAATCTTTATTTGTGTATAATGTTCTCACATGTCCTGACCAGTTTCAGCTAAAATTCGAGGGTTGTTTATAAGAAATCATGACGTCATTTGTCAATCATCCTGCAAAGTTAAGCTGCCTCGACAGGGTTGAATCTGTTAGAGCGATTGAAAAAGCTTATAAAAGGGGGGTTTGTCTGTAACTACACCGTTTGCGCTGAAGATGTATCCAACACATAAGTCAAGATTGGATTGTAGTGGTATTGGATCCTAGTAACAAGCATCAAAGCTGATCATGAGATAACTTGTAAAATAAACTTTCAACATGTAACACTAAGAAAGGGTCAATAATGGTGGACGCGGTAACATTCATTCGAAACCGATCGGTCGGACGGCATGGCATTGTAGGCGTGGTCATATTGATGCAAAAAGATTGTTATCCATTTTAAATAAATTGTTCTATATCCAGCCTAAATATGTTCTTCATCATATATTGATGACTGTTACAATACGATGATTCAGTGTAGACAATGATGTGACTTCCATGTATAGATTACTCAGTTACATCATGAAAAATCTACAATTTAAGAATTAAGTTTATTATAGGAGTAGTACTAATATCCAAGTAGACCATAATATAACATAGATCAGAATTCAAATAGCTAAGGTGTTTCGTTGTATGCAGTAACATTTACCAGTCCATCGACGTTTAGGATTAGGCATTGAATTGGAAAATTTATTTGATCGACACCTTTTTGTTTTCGGGGACATCTCACATCATTCTACTGCAAGTATCGAAATTTCTCCACCTGATATAAAAAGTTTAGCTAAGGATAAGGAGGAATAAATAGGATGAAATCTAACTGTATTGGCAACAAGCTCCTCCAAACGATTCACTCGGATGGTCTTCATAAACCATCTAGTTGATGAAGAATAAGACAAAAGAGAGGCGTGTATATAATCTACGATGAGTTTTAATATAAAATCAAGCGTGCGATATAGAATATTACTAAGGTTATAGAAAATGTGAAACCGAAAAGAAGTGATTCATGTTTATAGAAGGTAAAGCTTGTAGTTAGAAGTCGATTGCGAGAGAAAAGAACTTAAAAACACAGCAAATAGCCCTAATGAAGGTGAATGCCTTGCTTCATTCGTTCAACCATTTCAGTCTATTAAAGTATAAGACATTGATGATATTTCGGAGAGGTGGATGAACAGTATGATTCATCGCATTCCTTTTTCCCTCAGTCATGGAGGGTTGTATAGAAAATTCAGCTTATTATTCGCAGGATTTCATTAGTAGTATCAAGCTAGGCACGCTAATTAAAGGGACAGTGGTATTTTTCCTCGCTGAGTAAATTCTATTGTTTTGATCATTTATTATGTATCAAGACTACTGCTTTCAGTTTAATTGAATTTATTTCAGTTAAAGTATTCGATCACAGTATCTTTTCTGCGTCCATATTAGTCTGTCGTCGGTGTTTCAAAAGGGCAGTGATGTTGTACTTTTTATGATTATCCTCGCTTTTGTGTAATTATTACATCAAAAGAATTCTTGGTCTAAATCAAAGTACTTTGGTTAAGGTTCGAAATCTTGCTAAAGTTTGTCTCGTGGCACCCATTGCTCGTTGACTGACACTGTATTAATACTGTGATCATACTGTGTTTTAAACCTTAATCTGACTAGAATGGTTGGTAGTACTCACAAGTGTGGGCAGCCAAACTGTTTGTTCCCCGCGAAGGAATGTAGTGTGATAAATGCAAAAAGTGGTTCCATAAGATGTGCACTTGTTTAAGTTCCACCGCATACAAAAGATGTTCGAAGCCTAACTCACACTGGCTTTGCATGTTTTGCTGTGCAAATAAGACGCTAATACTACAGGAGGCGATGGGCCTATTGGCTTTGGCCTGTAAGAAGAACGGTGGCGCATGCGCTGATAACACGAGCACTGACAGTAACGAATGTGTCATTGCAGTACGTGCTGTTACGAGACGCCTTAAACAACCGACTCTGACTAACGGAAAAGTGAAATCTCCGTTAACATTAACGACGGGGGTATTACCATCTGGTACTGACATTGGTAACCATGCACCCCTAGTGGAAGCTGAAGATCCGGATAAAACCGTCACTGCTCCAAATAGTCACAGTGTCCTGAGGGATGAAAAATGGACTACAGTACGGAAAAAGAGCAATCAAAGGAAAAAGGCTGTAGGCAGTACGCAGGTGGTTAGCAAGTCACTGGTGGACTCTCATTGTGAGTCAAAAAATGCACTACCGAAATCTGATAGTAAGAGAGAAACTCACCCTGGCGTTACTGAGAAGAAGAATCTAATATCATCGACCATTATTTTGAGCAAATTGCTGGAGTCAGACAACCCTGATCCTAAAATTAAACACGCATGATTTAGAGAAGCTGGGAGAATATATACGTAGTATCTTACCAGATAACTCTAAAGGAGTTCAGGTCAAAAAACTGGTTAGAATAGGCAAGAGGACTGAGGACAATGTTAAACCCCGACTACGCAGACTTCTTAAGGTAATCCTAGGATCGGAGAAGCAACGATCAGAATATTCCTGTGGATTTGATCTTCATAGATCTAAGTAAGGCCTTCGATAAAGTCTCCCACTCTGGTCTTAAATTCAAGCTGGAACGTTTTGGAATCCATCATACACTCGTAGATTGGATAAGTAACTTCCCCCATGACAGGAGACAAAGGGTAAGGGTGAATGAGGCTCTCTTCTCGTGGAAACCTGGAGAAAGTGGAGTTCCACAAAGTGCAATCCTCGGTCCTCTCCTCTTTTTACTTTATGCAAATGAAATACCAACTATAGCAAAATCATCCGTTCTACTTTTCGCTGACGACATAAGAGTTTAATGACCCATACACAGTATGTCGGATACGATAGTATTACAGAATGATATTAGCTCATTGGTGTCATGGTTGGATAGCTGGTCACTAGAAGTAAATCGTAATAATAATGTAGTTATGCAAATAAATAACTATGATGAATCGTATCACCATACAATATATGGATTCGTGCTACCCAAAGTAAGAAACTATAAAGATTTAAGAGTCCTATTAGGCAGTGATCTCAAAACCACTAATCACTGTAAGGCTACTGCCGTGGTCTGTTCGTAGGTCTTTCCAGTATTTAGATGATGAAATTTTTAGATTATTATACCCGATTTATGTGTAACCACATTTAAAATATGGGATTCAAGCAGCGAGTCCTTGTTTCAAGTATGAAGCAGAGATGGTGGAAAGAGTCCAACAACGAGGTACTAAGATGGTACAAGGTCTGTCTGGCCTATATTATGAAGACAGACTGAGACACCTTAACTTATTTCCGTTATCTTACCATGGAGTACGGGGTGATCTATTATTTGCTTATCGTATACTGAACGATGACTTTGGTACTTACACATCTTATCTCTTACTTCTGTCTAGGACTGATTATTTGAGAGGACACTCCAAGAAATTCCGAAAACCGAGATCAAATCATTTACGTCTGGAGTTTCGCTTCTCGCACCGAGTAGTGAATTACCAGAATTCTCTACTGCAACACGTAATATCAGCACCCTCTGTTAATATATTCAAAACGAGATCGGACGTCCGCCGTATCACAAACTGCAGGGATTAATATGGGTCGATAGACCTCCTATCCTTATTACTGAAGACTGAACAAGTTTGTAGCGGTTACTCGAGTCTTGAAGTTAAAAAATTGAAGAATTGAAACCACCTTTCGATAAACCTCTAGACTTTTTGACATAGATAAACACTACAATTTTGAAAATGACAAAGAGCGAGACTTTCCTAAGTAACTTATTAAATGTTGCTCTTTGGACAACGCTTGTTTAAGTGCACCATCGCTAGGGGCAATTCGTTACTTGCCCTGCCGCTAAGACTTTGGATACGTGCCAGTAGCGGTAATTCTCGGTCTTGTAGTTTTGTAATTCAAATAAAATGCATTTTGTTGTTATATTATAAGTGCTATATTGAGTAAAGTGGTCACGGTAGTTGAATGAATTTTTCTTTCTCACAGATGAATGGGGAAATCGAACTGGTAAGAAGTTCTACCGTTCAAAAAAGCTTTCTGAAGTCGCCATCATGTAGACCAGCTCTCCAAAGTGCAGACCACCTCACTTCCTCAGACCTTTCCTTGTATAGTACGACCGTTTCTCGAATGTCAGAAGTCGTACGCTCTGATCTCGATCATCTTTCTGATATTGGAATTGGAAGTAACACTACACCTGAAACTTTTGAGAACGCTCGAAAAGATCGTGACTTATCCCGTAATCCCCCAAATAGCTCTGGCATAATTTTAACACCAGTGTCCTGTCAAGGGTGTCAAGTATCTACACCTTTAACAGAAGTTTGTGACTCACTGTCTCTTGGATCACAATTGACTAGTTCTTGTGTAACTAGCTCTGATGATCTGAACAGAAACCATTTTCTGTCTTTAATAAAATCAAACTCGGAACATTTGGATAAGACCTCGTCGGCGTCAGATGTAGTTGATTTCGGGAAACTTGCGTATGGTCGCCTTGATGGACAGTTGTGCGAATCAGAATATCGAAATAAACTAAACAAAACACATAATTTGACTTCTATTGTTGACCAGTTAACAGATCCTACTTGCTTGCGTGCTAATAATCTCAGTGCAGATTATCGTTTAATGAGAGCAGCATTAGAATCTGGTGTTACAACTGATACGCTTACAGGTATTAATCAAAAAAGCGACACGAAGTGTATTCAAGCTGAGTCGGACAGTTTAGATATTTCAACTGAATTCGGAGTACCAAGTAATTTGTGGAACCACCGGAATTGTGTAGGGGTTACTTCTGCAGACCATAGCTTCTCATTTGCCGGGGACACAATTACGTCTCTTATGTCTAACACAGAAATAGATCAAGATAGTGTTTTAAATGATGGTCATTGTAGTAACATTTTCCCCACTGTTCACAGCAACACTCCCACTACTGCGACTATTGCAGCTAAGCGCCCGATCACTGGAGCTCATCAAACTGCACGTTACCCTGCAGTTAATAAAGGAGGTATGTGGTCGAGTAATTCTAATGGGCTGTCAAACTCTGCACTTGGATACATGGTTTCCAATGCATGGAGCAGCAACGGCACCGGTGTTTCAGCAAAGTTGGGTAGTAGTCTTGTCACTGATTCGAATCCTACAGTTTGTGATTTTCCTGGAAATGAAGGTAATACGGTTTCGTGGTCTCAAAATTCGTCAGTTCATCAGACACTTCACAAACCAAACGTCCAGAACATTCCAAATATGGTCGGACCTGTGGGTTTTGGTAGTGGAATGGCTAACGGTTCCTTAAATCGGACAGCTGTGTCCGTGGGTCTTGTATCAGTATCTACAACCGGCGTCAGTATTACCAGTAACAATAAAGTAAATGAGGCAGGTCTTTCAAATATATATAGTATGTTTCCTAAGCGCCCCCAACACCGAATGATGGCACATTGGCAGCAACAGCAACAACATCATCAAAATTCACAGCAAGTACCATTAGGTAAAGGTCTTATGAACATTGTCACAAGTAGTATCCAACTAAATGGTAATCGTGGTAGTTTAACTGGAGTTAATTCCACTCTCTCAGCTCTACCGAATGGTTGTGAGGATTCCGGTGTGAATAATAGTTCTGGAAGCTTGAATAACCACTCTATCATCCAGTCGCTAAACAGTGTTGGGTCATCATCGTCTGCAAATAGTTCACTAGTTCTGTGTTCTTCTGGAGACTCTTTCACAAATACCTTGTCATTCAACAGCCCAACGTCGGAAAGTTCCTTAGATAGTTTCAAATACGGGTTAGATCAACAGCTTATGGAAGTTATCAAATCTTTTGAAATCAGTAGCATTGGAGGTTCTAATTTAGTTCCTTCGAATGCAAATACCACATCTATGGGAGGGATCGATGATTTAACATTGTCATCTAATTTTGGAGAGGTAGACCAACAAATACCTGGTTTAAATTCTGCAAACCAAATGCCTGTCTTAGGCTCATCGTCGATACACAACTCAACACCTATGATAAATGGTTCAAATAACCAAAGTTCAGGTTTTAATAGTCTTTCTAGCTACAACGGGAGTTCAATGATGGGTTCAGCTGCAATGACAAGCCCATATTCTATGTTTGCAAATATTTTTACTCGTGAAGAAGGATTTTCACGCAAAGTATTCGTTGGAGGTCTCCCACCTGATATAGACGAAGGTATGTCAATATGTATGAGCTGTAATTTTTTGCTTTTCGTAGGTTATTGATGTAAATTACTTTATTATGTTCGCCACAGCTTAGTATGGGAACTCGAACTGATGTACGTACGTACGAAGTTTTACGTTGTTACTGACTTACAGCTTGGTTCAAATAATGGGAGACTGTTCAGTAGATTATTCATGTAAAATTTTATATTCTTTATCATACATAGCTTGCTTTTTGATATGGCTTTGTATATATTAATTAGGTGCGTCGTTGCTGTTGCTCATTAGCTTAGGTACTCTAATTTCATCCAAATTCAAACAACCACTTGATGGGGGAAAAGATGGTTGGGGATTACCACTAACTCAAAAATCCTTGTCTATATTTCGGCAAATAAGCTTGTGTGGCTGGTGAGTGCTGCCACTATTATTTTTTGTAATCAGTCGAAGTACAAGCTTTTTTTCTTAGTTAAGATGCAAACCTTATTAAGGAGGTAATGACGCATTACGATATGGATTCTTTGATTTCCTTCGATCCTTCTTAGTCTCAAACAACTTTACTGGTATCCTAGATACTAGTTTAATACCCAAAGCCTTAAATATTCAGCTTTGACTTGTTTATTATTTTAAGAGTAATTTCTAGACATTTGCTTCTTTCACTTCATGGATGGTCTAATATCCATTGCCAGCTACTAGTTTAATATTTAGATTGTAGTCTCATGGTTTATATACTCAGACTTTATTCTGTAACCGGCCATTTTTCCTGTATTTTAAACATCAAGTTGTTTTCTCTTATTTTACTACATAACTAGAATGTCAAGAGTAGATAGTCGAAAGTAAATGGATAAAGATATCAATTGTAGTTACTCTCGATCACTAGTTTAAACATTTATTCCGGGATATATGTATAGTGAAGATTTTTGAGGTGTTCGAAGAAAAGTGCAATCATTATTTTTAACACCAAGACACTACCGACCTGTTTATTGAATCCGGCAGTCACTGCTGCTTCGTTCACTCACGATATCCTTGAATTTATACAGAACCTCAGCTTTTTAGGATGGTAAAGTCTGTGAATTTCATCTATTTGGAACTTTATGTGAATTTATTTTATCAGTACCAAAAACACGAATGGTAGATGATTTTGTTCGATGTAACTCCTATTATTATGACTGTTTTGGGAGATCGTTACTTTGTGATGGATTGATAATGCGAGAATTTATTGTGCATTGGGGTTCTGAAAAACAAAAATTCTAATTGAGTTATTTGACCGTTAATATTGTCGGTTGTATAATAGCACTTTCTGAAGAATTGTAAGGCTGGTTAAGTCAGTTTAAAGGGCTAAAATTCATCTTACAAGTTAAGTGTTGGAAAAGTCGGGTATTTTGATTACTTGATTAGAGGTTAAGGGGAACTTATTATCTCAAAATTTATTTAGTTTATAGGTTTAAGCGTTTCCTTGAACGAATATGTAATTGGTCACTGATTGTAGTATAGCATCTCAACGACGATGTCTGAACCGTTTGTCTAGGGACGCCTCGTTGAATTTAATTACCAAACTCCTTCAGTATCAGAGTGATTTCCTGTGAAAGCGTGCTTGTCACCACTACACATAGACTCTCTTCAGTGCTATACACTAAACCCAAATTATAATTCCCTATATATTTGGTGAACATGGCAAAGTTTAAGGAAAGGATTTTAGGTTTCAAACAGTTGAATTCCTACTGAATTAATCGACGTATGTTCTGTTTGCTAACTGAATGAGGAAGAAGACGATTAATGACTGAATATAGTAATAGTACTAGTCGGGGAAATGTTTGTGTGCAATGAAACATCTTTAAACTTATTTATCCTTAAGAACATTAGTATAAATATTAAGTCATAAACCGTTGAATGAATCTTTTGAATACATCAAGAAATTCGCTGTGTATGTACACTTACAAAGCACTTTATTTACTGGTAATAAGAATCTTTGGGGTCATTATTATGTTACTTGATCACACAACTGCGTTAAACTTCGATCAAGTCAAAAATACCTTTTGTTTGGTCTGATGTGTAGAGTTTCAGAATGCTCAAAGATGGGCCCTAAAGAAAACAGCATTTTTAAAAAATGTCAGTACTTCAAATTTTTCGCTCAACTTAGCGCGAGTAATATAGTTCAAGCACTAAGATTGTGGAGGCTTAGAAATTACTTTAGCTGAACGACGAAGCAGGTACATGTCCATGTAATTGATACCAAGCATTATCTCCAAGGTGAAGAACTAAAGTAAGATAAAAACTTACCAGTCGAGTCAATGTACAATAGTTAATTGATTTTAAAGTATCTACTATTTTAATTGTCTTGGCCGTATATACTACGTAGTTGTATGATAAACTGGATTAATCACATTAATTTTGACACAGTTTCCAAACATATTCAAAACGGTAAAATTATCTAGTGATCAGTTATTTATAAAGTCAGGGATCGACATCCATGAAAGATCGCGAAATGGATTAACTGTAGTGTTTGTGCATTGCTGTAAGTTGATTTCCAATAATAAATAATTTCTAACAGTAGTATCGGTAATTTCCTCTTAGTTATACGGAACTATCTTTACCCTGGCTGTCATTCTACATCGCTATTAACTCAATAAAAAAATTTTCGATTCTCTTTTAGAGGAAATAACTACTGCTTTTCGTCGATTTGGCCCTTTAATAGTTGATTGGCCCCATAAAACTGAAAGTAAGGCATATTTTCCACCAAAAGGTAAGGTGTACCTCATCCTTTTTCCTCTCCTTTAAAAAAACTTCATTTAAAGTTTGAGAATAGTAGTTCCCAGGGATTTAATTAGTCATTATTTAATGAAAGACTAATAACTATCATGAATAACTCTTCAAGCTTTTGGGTCGTTGTAATCTTGGTCTCACACAAAAATATCTTATCCTTTAGTAAGATTTCTATCAATTCTAATTAGCTAAGAAATTGGTAGACGCATTGTTTATCGCACCTAAAATCAATATTTGAAGAGAAAATAAACGTTATATTTTAAGTAATTTCTTGAAGCTATATATTCAGTCTTTCCAAATAAGTCACAATCCATATAAATGGGATTCAGTAAAGTTTTGTTTCACTTTGATGACATGTTACGGTTTGTTACTCTTAGTCCTTATGAACATAACTTATCACATGTCTGAAGTCAGTGATTAGAATCTACATCATTCATTGGCGTAAAGTGAACTAACTAGCTTGCACTAATTATTGATTTTTCTCTAGATAAAACTAGCTCTCATTGATTAAAAAAATCAACTCAATCATTTTAGGTTCGTGAAATAAATATCCTGCTTCATATTCGTTGATTTTCATAGTTCTGTACACTAACCTGTACTACTTGCTGGATTTCGATCCGTAGACCTATACCATTAAAGAACAATTCATTAATATTAGTATGTCAGTACTACCTTCACAGATTACCTGTTTATTCTAAATTTCTGTTTGTTTAGGCTATTGTTTTCTGCTATTCCAAGATGAACGATCTGTTCAAAGTCTTATTAATGCTTGTATTGTTGATGAAGGAAAATACTATTGGTGCGTATCATCACCTACGATGAAAGATAAACCCGTAAGTTCTCATAGTGATACATATTATCTGAACTTCGTTCGTTCGGTTACACAGTTGTTTCGTCATCCACGAACAGTGTTTCGAAGACGAATATGATCAAATGCTATTCACTTTTCATATGTTTTTTAGTTTCACAATTCCTCAATAGCTTGATTTAACAATGTACGGCTCGATAATCATAGTCATAAATGCTTACCGACCAACCGATTCATTATTTTGTCATCTGTATTTTCCCTAATTATTTGTTTGTCAGTCGAAATCTGGGGATGGATTGTCCACATATTTTTATTACTTGTTCAAAAGATCTTTCGTGGATTCTCATAGTTTAATGACTATTAAAGATCTACAGTCTATCAGGATGGTATATGTATGCGCATAAGTGAAGTAACTTGGTTAGATACATTAGAGTTACTGTATCTAAAAATAATCCGTAAAACCCGTTGAATTTTGTCTTCATGGATAATTTTTTTTAGAAGTTAAGATGTACAAAGTGCATTAAAGATTACTTTTATTTGTGTAATGCGTGTGCCGAAACGAAGGGTATCAGTCGAATTGGTAGCTATTTTATTTAGTACTGTATACTCTTCGACATATGCGTCATTCGATTGGTCGTAGATACATTAATTGAGTCGAATTCTTCAGTAAACTTGTCTAAGCTATTCGAGTTTTAACCCTATCTCTTTGTGACGTGAAAATCCTTTTATTTTCGGTTTTGAAATCTATCTGAAGTGGTTAACTTCATGACGTAACCTTCACTTTCCATCTAAAGTACTATTATACTGAACGAAGACTTAGGTACGGAAAACCAATTAATTTTTTAGTATAAAATTACAATGTCTTCATAAAATATAAATACCATACATTAAGTACTTTATTTTCACATCTTCCATCAATTGTCTCTTACAAACTGTATCGTTCGTTCATTCCTGTTGTTATTGTATTTACTCTCTGTCTACATTCCTGTTTTCTTCAATTCGATCTTCTCAACCTTCTGCCAGGCATTTCACTTCTGATTGGTGTTACATACTACTTATGCTTATCAACATAAGTAGCATACACCTTATTATATCCAGGTCGAAAAATAATGTCTCTAGTATGGTTTACTTCATGCTGTTTTATCTAAAATTATGTATGACAAGAGATGTCTAGTCAAATTACATATTTTATTGTTGCATACATTCTTTTCACAGCAAAATATTCTGTTGGTTTGAAACCTCAGACGTAAGTTGGTTTTTGAGATTCCACGGAATTTGGAAATAACCTTTATCGTATCGCGCTGTCAAAGAAAATCAAACATTGAGAATCAACTTCCTAGACATATTTCTTCCACCTTGTTGTCAAAATCATTAGTATGATTCACTCACTTCTCTGAACTACTTAACCAAGATCTTTAGTTCCTTGATATGCTATTTTATGGTTAAGCTATTCCATTTGGTTCCAGCAACTAATATTTCCAATTGTTAAGGGAAGGTGTGGTTGTGAAATTTTCACCTCACGGCATTGGTACAAGGAATCCAAAATCTAACAATTAATCAGTCTAATCAATAAGGTTATTGAATTTAATCTACTTCTCGTATCAAATAGATCTAAACAAATTCATCGTTTCCGTCTAATTTGCATCAAGTTGGATATGTCTATGTGTTATTTCTGAATAGAAAGATTGTATTGTGGTTAGTTGTTTAGAGATAGATTGGTCATACGTTTCTTGAACAAACAAGTCAGTTGCAACGCAAAACCTGCTACGTATGTACGTTAGTTCAAGGTGTCCTACCCCATTAGCACAGAAAGATAAAATTTCTGGCCAAATCCTAAAATAGTAGAGATAGTAACATTATCAGTTGTAACTGAATAGATTAGAGATCGAAGATACTATTCAAGAAGAAAATACAAATAGTGAAATAAAGTTATGAGAGATTCAGAAGCTCAGAATCTGGAGGAAGACAAAAAATGGGTGCATCTGCGCCATTGCAAATGATTTTGAGCTGTCATTTAAAGTCTCTAATCACTAGTTACAATAATCACGCGGACCCCTTAAAAACAAGTGCCTGTTTACAATTGTCTATTAAGTAGTCTTCACCTGTTCACTTAAACAAACAAATTTTTCTGTTTCATGAAACATCACAGTTTTGCATCAATCTTGTTCAATTGAATTTCGCATCAGTTCTCTGCTGTTACGTCTAATTTCCCAAAATACTGATTCTAATGGTAACTCAACTCTTGTTAGCGTTTTCGGTAATTCGTTATCAATATTACCAGAATTCGTTTATTTTCCAAAAGGGAGTTATCAAAGGTACCTTATGAATCATGCTATTGAACTGGTTGATCTGAAACACTCAAATTTTTGTTTTCAGTTCTTTTAATTACACTTGTACTCGCTATTGCAGCGTTTGCGTTTTATTCTCTTAACCATTAAAATTTCCAACCGACATTGCTAGCTTCTAGTATTTCATGTCGTCAAACAATTAACCTCCTTATTTTAAACAAGGTTCAATCAATGTGGGATCTTTAACTCGGCCCTAACTTTTTGTTAGTTTTGACTTCAATATGTATGATTATTTCTCTGCTCATTGTTTTCTACAACTTTGTTATTCACTTTATGAAACTGCATGTTTGATAATATCAAGTAAACAAGAGTAGAGTTACTTTTTAATTGTTCACATTGTTTGCTGTTTTATTTGTAAGCTCTTTTTGAAAAAAATCTTAGGTTCAAATTCGACCATGGAACTTAGCGGACTCCGATTTTGTCATGGATGGTTCACAACCATTAGATCCTCGTAAAACAATTTTTGTTGGAGGTGTTCCACGTCCACTTAGAGCTAGTAAGTTAACCAATGAGTTGACAATATAATCTTATCAAAGTGTGATAGATATTTCTTACTAATTACCATTATTATAATATGAAAAATATGGTTTCTAGCTTGTTTCAACTGTGTGTCAACCGGATATTCCTTTTATCTATGATCTTTCCACATGTATACTTCATAAAAATCACATTTTATCCATTTGAGTTTTAAAAAGCTATCTTCAACGAGTAATTCTTATATGTGTAGTGTTCACTAAATGACTACCATTAATTGAAGGGAACTACGAAACCAAGGACAACTATTGTTTGTTTCTATTGATTCTCTAGCTGCTATCAATCTGTGACATAATCAATCTTCAGATTGCACAAATCTCTACACAATATCAACTATGAAAATAATTTCATTGATTGTTTCGTTCCCTATTCTTTTTCGAAGTGACTTGTAGTAGACAGTATTGAATTAACAGAAATTCACTAAGTTTGTCTATTCACCAATCAGTCTGTCTTTTTTGTGCATATACACAATATCAAACTAACATTTTCATATCCGTATCAAATATTCACATAAGTTATTCAAATTACATATATTGCAGTGAATCATAGTTGTATAAAAGTCTAAACGCATTTTGGATTTTTAGATAAAACCGACAGAAGAATCTATATGTAGGCCAACTATGTTCTAATTATTCTCCTCCTACAAGTCCACAAAGAGCCTTGCCCAAGTGTGCAATTTTTTACTCGAAAACTGAGTCACATTTTAATTTATATAATTTCCTAGACTTTGTAACCGCGTACACAGTCCCATGCCTTACACATTTTACTATGACAATTATCTATTAGGTGAGTTGATGAAGAGTTGACTGTCTATAGTGATCGAAAAGTGTACAAATTCAGATTTTTAGCGGGAATCATCATGTGAACTTATAGACAGAAAGTAAACTAGAAATAAAAACCATGTACAGAAACAAATCCATTGTAAACTTGTTCTTGTTATGCAAAAAATATTTTTCTTTCAGAAAACATTCATTACTTATTTAACGAGTAGGTTAATATGAATGATACTAATATCGATGTTCATAAGGAGTAACGTATTGAATACATGGGATATCAATTCTACTGGTTATCCAATGAACATAATAACTGATAATTAATGGTCCGTCCAGTAAGTTTGCTAATTGGGACACTTGGTAAACAAAAACCAAGAAATTCATTTTATGTTTAGAGTTGTATAGGGAAGTAACGTATTAAAAGAAACATCAGATTTCAAGGGAGTCAAGCATTTCAATGAGGACGAAAGGGATGTTGTAAGTCATAGACGACCGTTGACTTTGTGTTGGTGAAATCGTCGAATGTATGCGATCTCTGATGTTTTCTGATCACCAGCTTACTGTCCAAATGATTCCTTATGAGAAGTGCATATGATTGAAACAAAAATATTGAAAAATTAAACCGTGAAACTATGTGCAACTGACTTCCAAGGTCTCAATAATGAAGACCGAGGTAGCACAAAAGTATTACCTGAAGTAAATAGCATTTTACGAAACGGATAAGATTAATGCACTCTAAATCTATAGTAACTACTTGTAGCCTACTTATTTTCTGATCCAGTTTTTGCATTTCTATGGCAAAGTGCATTTAAATAGGTCTGTCACTTTTGACAATATTATAATTATTATACAACCAAAAACACTGTAATCTTTTCCTTAAAATGATTTATTAGATTAACTAATAAAGTCTTCTAAATTTCATACAATATAGTATTAATATATTTCCTAAATGGAAACCGAAATAAATATTTTAAAATTTTAAGAAACTAATAAATATAAAATATTTTAGTTATATTTGACCCATATTTATTAAAATTAAGGTGAAAGAAAAAACGAAAACTCCTTTTCTTGTTTGTTTATAAAAAGGATATTTTCATATATCGATTTACCATTCACCCAACTGCATTCAGTCACTTTGAAACTTCATTGTTATTAATAATTTTGCATATATATATATATATATATATATATATATATATATATATATATATATATATATATATTCGTTTTCGTCCCAGCCTACATGATTCTCTGCCTATTGGATGAATTTTTTTCTCCTCACTTGTCTTGTCTCTGTGAACAGTTTCAAATCCCCTCCTATTTTTGGCATGACCTGAAAATGACCTTACTTGTAGACAGAAGTTTACTTTTCTTCGTTTCTCTTTTTGACCTTAAAACAGTTTTTTCGTTTTTTTCTCAAACAAGAAGCTTAGTCATTATCTTTTATACAGTATTTAATTCATTATTATTATTTATCCAACTGACTATATGGAAGTAATCTGAACAAAGAGAAAATATACGTTATTTCTAATTCCCTAAGGATACATCCTCATATATATATATATAATCTTTAACCAAGTTATAATGTTGCTGAAATCTTTTACACTATATGCTTCTAATCTATAAATTGTTAATCAAATCACGATTGGGTTACTACATATTAGCTGTGTTAATCTTCAACTCCGAAATAAAATACTTGTACGTTGATTATAGATAAAACCAGGCAACTACTCTTTGTACATGAAAACTTGTTTTTAGTTAAGCCTGGAAAATAATTACCGAAGAACAAATAAAAAAGAGAGGAATACAGGTTTCATCGTGAAAACAAGGGAAAAAATTTCGGAGATAATTGTTCACTACAATAAATATTATGTAGAAATACATTTCAACAACCATGTCTCGTTTAATATACTTGGATACGAGTGGCATATTTTTATGTTCGTGCTGGTTGCCTTGACTAGAGTAGTTAAGACAGTTATCTCAGTATTCAATTTAGTGGTTGAAAATTGGTTGCTTTTAATCACTATTCATCAAAACAATGCGTTTAAACATTTCGGTCTTCTTTAGCTTCCTACAAAAACCAAGCAATTAAATTTTATTGCTTTTTGCTAACCCACATTTATACTCGCATAGTGCTGTTTAGTGAAGTAAGCATAAATTCAACCCACAATAATTTTTTACTGTTTTCAGTAGTTTAAAGTTTTTACAGTGTTCAATATTTACGATAACTAATTAGATTCGAATAATTTCAATTTTTGTATGTGACAATATTGTTACCTTCATTCATTTATTTTTGTATATCCTAGTAATTAAAAATTGAATCTCAGTTTTAAAGTCAGTTAAATAATCACTTGATTTGTTTCATTTTAAAGTGTCTAGCTCTTTGATAAGTATCTGCCTTGAATTAAAGTTATAGAGTATTTATAATCTAAATGTAAAATACTGAGATAATCAAGCCTTAACATTTATCTTAGCTTGTACGTCATAATCTTTGAACGATCCTACAATTTATACCTCTCTTTTTGTAAAATATAGCGTAAATGGCAAGTTTCCGAAAGTAAAGTTTGTAGTGTAGATTTAAACAAATGAAGTGAAGGCTCATGTATTGACATCATCCTAGAAAAAACATCATTTTCAATATCTGCATTTTCTTTTTGTGGTCATCTACCAGTTTCGTTTTGGAAACAAGAGTATAGTTCAGTGAAGATATATATGCTCGGCAGTTTCCTTCTCAGAGTTGTTCATATATATATATATATATTCTTTTCGACAACGATTAATGGAAGTAGAATAAACATTAAGATTATTATCCATATTAAGAGATTGAATCAAAAGTGAGTTAAGAATGTCATAAAATTTAGAGAAAGAATTATGATTGCCTAATATAGTAAGATAAATTTTGAAAAGGAATCCTATTCTAAAACGACAGTAAGTCTGTATGAGTTAAGGGTCTAACCGTGCGGTAGAGAGAATGATTTATTAGATTTTTTTGAAAAATAAAAAAAAAACTAGAAGTCAGCAAAACGGAATAGGGATTCAATTAGTTAAAAATTTTAGGTTAAGTTCACAGAAAGTAAATAGGTTAGCTAAGTTTCTTTTTTACATATGATACTGGTTTTGCTGTGCATAGAGACGAATTTAGTAATACATTGAGGAAGCAAAGATATTGCTTTTCGTATGTTTCTGGTTTTCCTGTAGAGAACTTGGATTAGCGAGCCTGCCTTGATCATATGGTCGCTTGTAAG